GGGGGAGGGGCGTGCTGCCCTGGTAATCCTATATTCTCCGTTCCTCCTTCGCTCGCGGGCGTGTGCGCGCCGCAGGCTGGCGGTAAGGCTGGGAAGGACTCCGGAAAGGCCAAGACAAAGGCGGTTTCCCGCTCGCAGAGAGCCGGCTTGCAGGTCAGTAGCTGTTCGTGCAGTCTTGGACTCGTTGCATTTTTCTTTGATCCTGTTTTCTTGTTTATCATCGTTCTAGACTGGCGTGTAGTCTTTTAGTGGGCGACGCGGTGTCGCGACTCGGATTGCCGATAATGATAAATATCGGGAAGGGGGGGCGATCACGTGTATAGATGCTGGAGCGTGTTGCTGCACCAACGTCAACCTTGCTCTTTGCTTTGGCGCGCGTATAATTTTCCTATCTTTGACTTTTGTATCTTGGAGCATTTATGTTTCTGTATCCTTAAAATTAAGTTCCCGGTGGGCCGTATTCATCGACACCTGAAATCTAGGACGACCAGCCATGGACGTGTGGGCGCGACTGCCGCTGTGTACAGCGCAGCCATCCTGGAGTACCTTACCGCAGAGGTAAATGGGTGTACGCCTGTAATCTGGAAAAGGCTCGGGGAGGGAGGGGGCGGGGGAGGCGGTGAGAAGGAAGGAGGAAAGTGATGCAAGAAAACTCACAGGCCCTAAACGCGGTGAGCAGCCTCTGCGAACGCTAGAGGGAGCTGGTGCTCAATAAGGAATCTAGTTGAGTTTGTGTTTGCAGTTCATGGAAATAATTGCGTGCCCCCTTTATAGCTTTTGCATATCTTGCTATTAAGGTAGTGGGAGGGCAACGACGATAGGTCGATTTACGTTATGAAAGTTAGACTCTGCTCTGGGTCTTGGCCTAAGGAAAGTTGAAGGAAATTAATTAGATTCTGCCTTCTAGGTACTTGAACTGGCAGGAAATGCATCAAAAGACTTAAAGGTAAAGCGTATTACCCCTCGTCATTTGCAACTTGCTATTCGTGGAGATGAAGAGTTGGACTCTCTTATCAAGGCTACAATTGCTGGTGGTGGTATGTAGCTACTCGAATTGATTTTTAAGTTGCTTTAAAAGAATTATTTGCATCTTTAATTTCCATTAGTTATTTTTATAATTAAAAGAGAACTCTTACACATTTTTACTGAACTTTGTTTTTTAAAGACATCTTTTGAGTTGAACAATAAGCTACCTTGGTTATGTATTGTGGGGTTTTAATATATATAAAAAATTAATCCCTGTCACTCTCAATAGGTGTCATTCCACACATCCACAAATCTCTGATTGGGAAGAAAGGACAACAGAAGACTGTCTAAAGGATGCCTGGATTCCTTATTATCTCAGGACTCTAAATACTCTTAACAGCTGTCCAGTGTTGGTGATTCCAGTGGACTGTATCTCTGTGAAAAACACAATTTTGCCTTTTTGTAATTCTATTTGAGCAAGTTGGAAGTTTAATCAGCTTTCCAACCAACCAAATTTCTGCATTCGAGTCTTAACCATATTTAAGTGTTACTGTGGCTTCAAAGAAGCTATTGATTCTGAAGTAGTGGATTTTGATTGAGTTGACTGTTTTTAAAAAACTTTGGATTTTAATTGTGATGCAGAAGTTATAGTAACAAACATTTGGTTTTGTACAGACATTATTTCCACTCTGGTGGATAAGCTCAATAAAGGTCATATCCCAAACTAGTTGTTTTATCTCTTTGAATATAGTTTTATAATTTTTTTTAAAAAAATTAGTTTTATAATTACTAAACATGGTTCTTATATTGGAGTTACTGATCAACAGTGTCAGATGGTGGGCCCCATGATACATGTTATGTGCTGTTGAGTCAGACGCAACTCATAGAGACCCCTCCTTCGGTTTCTGAGGCAGTATCACTACAGAAGTAAGATTGCCCCATCTTCCTTCAGAAAAGTGGCTGGTGGGTTTGAACTGCCAGCCTTTTCTGATTAGCAGTCAAGTGCCTTAGGCGTTCATAATGCTATCAGAGCTTCCATATGATATATATATATATATATATATATATTTAATGTTATATAATGAACTCTTAAAAATTTTGAAGCTTGGGCAGGAATTGGGGTGGGATACGTTACTGGTTTTTTAGACACTAAAGTTTGGCCATCTGCTTGTACACTGGCTGTGCATCCTCTGTGATGGCACCATGCCATTGTATTATAAAGTGGTAGGGAAGTGAGTAGGTAGGATATGCATATATACCTTGACTACAGAATGAATTTACTGATTATAACTTGAGTAGCACTTAATGTGCCAGGTACTGTTTTTAAATGTACCTGTAATTCATGACTAAATATTTTTGAAAATGTACTGTATTTCATAGATGAGAATCCAGATTGCCTCTAGTACCCAATAGGGTGGTGGTTTTAGCATAGCTTGACAGCATTGTACAAAGGGTCTTATGGTTGAGTTGAGTGGAGGACCATCTTGACTAAGCTGGTAAGTACATCGCCAAAAATTTTTAAATTCAGATGCATACATCACCAAACAGTAGTACTCTTACCTTTCTCCACATGATGGTACTGTAATTCACAAGGCGGTAACTTGTGAAAATGGGAGAGGGAAAATAAGGCCAATCTGTAATGGTTATACCTTCTGAAAGGGGCAGGCTCCTGCCTTTAAAGGATTAGAATTGCCTGCTGCTTTTCACTGGAAAAATTACATAATACAAATTAAATCACTTGCTTTCTCATTTTGATTGACAATTTAATGGAATTTGGGTCAAAAGGACTATGTGTAACAGGCACAAAGCACCAGATTTAGGGTCAAAGGATACTCTAAACGTGTTTATAAACACCTGTTCCGGAAGCACCGTGTAGGGCCTGACGCGCAGTCCTCACCCGACCGAATCCTCCACAGGTTAAGGGGGCCCAGAGGCGTGGCCTTTGAGTCTTGGGAATTTTTCTGAAAACGAACGCCCCCGTACCATCTAGTTCTGGTCGCCCAGAAGGCAGGCTCCGGTCTGCGAGGGCTGTACCGGGACGTCGGGGGACCGGCGCTTCCAATGCCGGCGGTGGGGTATCCGCCGGGGCGAAACCCCCTTGCTGGACAGCCGGGCTAGTATCGCCCGCTCCGCTCTTCCCTACACACCCCCACTCCGAGTTGATAGGCTCGCGCTAGCCCTGATGCTAGTGCTGCGCACCGGCCGCCTAACTAGCTCTCCGACGCCCAGGCCCAAGAGCCCGGTACCGGGGCCGCCGGGAGGGATGCAACTCGGGCCTTAGCGGACCGCTGGGGGCGGGGAGGCCGCTGTGAGGAGGCGGAGCTGCGAGGCCCGCCCGTCCAGCACTCGGGCCGCCGCCGCGGTCCCTCGCGCTCCTCCTACCTCTCCACCGCACTGTCCCCACCAGGGTCTGGGCTTGCCTTCTCGGCGGCGGCGGCAGCTTCCGCCCCTCGTAACTACGCTGCCAGAAGAAACGGAAGAAGATACAAGCCATGGAGGGGAACCGGGACGAGGCGGAGAAGTGTGTCGAGATTGCCCGGGAGGCCCTGAACGCCGGCAACCGAGAGAAGGCCCAGCGATTCCTGCAGAAGGCCGAGAAGCTCTATCCGCTGCCTTCAGCCCGCGGTGAGGAACTTAGCCGCTCTTACCTCCCTGCCTCATCCCCTGACCATCGTGTAAGCCCTTCCCAAACCCCACCATCGCCCCTGCAGGGAGCCAACACGGCCCCAGGTCCTCCGGTCCCCGCCGCGGGGCCTGGGGGAAGAACAGCCCGACACACCCCCCGCCCCCTCTCAAGGCCCTGGAGGCCGGGGCCTGGCTCTGGATGGGCAGCCCAAGACTCCTTCTGCCCCAGCCTGCCTGCGGGCTGCCGGCTCTCAGTTGACTGGCGGGGATTGCTGGATCCGAGGTGTTCCTTAGTGTCCAGCTCTTATCCTTCTGGGAGATATACCAGGTTCCCCCCCTCTTTTTTTTTTTTTTAACCGGAGCGGTTCTTTATATCTAGGTTACTTAGATATCTGGTCCTCTTCCTACCCTTCCTTACCCCAAATTTGGCCTAGGCCCCTAAAGAAGTGAAAGGAACTGGGAACTCTAGTGGTTAATTTACAGATCTCAAGTTCTGCTGCCTCTAGGGTAGAAAACAGTTCTTAAAGCAAACATTTTCAAATACCTGAAATGACATTGTTTTTCTCTGGCGGAGAGAGAGAGTTCCTTTAGAAGAGAGGAGCACATATTTGGCAGGAATGATCTAGATTCAGTAATGATTTGCCTAAATACTATCTTATTTGATAACACCATAATTATTGGCAAATTAGGCAAATCACCAAGGAATAGAGTACTGGACTTCTTTTAGTTGAATTCACTTTGTTCATTTTCCTACTCTTCAAAGTGATAATAGCCACCATTTATTGAGCACCTACAACATGCCGAGAGTTGTGCCATGTAATTTATATGAATTATTTGATTTATTCTTCCCAGTAGCTCTAGAGGATTCATTTAGCCAGGTGTACCCGTGTAGAAACAGACTTCTTGATGAATGAATGAATGAATGAATGAAAAAAAAAATATCTCACTACAGCTCACACAGTAATTACCTAGTGGAAAAGTCAGAATAATAATTGAGCTGTCTGACTCCAAAAGGCCCTTAGCCATTACGTTCTATTACTTTGCCAATAGGATACTGTTTCACTTGAGTTTCAAAGTATTAACAGGTTAAGAAGAAAATTATTAATTTTTTAATTATGCGGGGCCATCTGTTTTATTATTTGCTTAATTTTTTCCCTTACATTGTTGAAGTCCTTGTGCTCTTTGCTTTCTTTCTGAGTCTTCTATTCCATTGCCTTCAATCATCACAGAGAACAGGAAAGGGAAGGGACAAAAATAATTAATTTTTGAATTTACCTACCAATGAATGAAATCCCTGGGTGGCTTAAACAGTTGAATTCTGGTTCTAACAGAAAGGTTGGTGGTTCAAATCCACCCAGAGGTGGCAACTCAGAAGAAAACTTGGTGATCTACTTCTCAAAGGTCGCAGCCATTGAAGACCTCACAGAGCACAGTCCTACTCAGAAATAAATACCCCCTGTGGAGCACAGTTCTACTCTGAAGCACACAGGGTTGCCATGCATAGGAATTGAATGGATGACAGCTGTGTTTTGTTTTGTTTAGTTTTTTTACTATATGAATACATTATTTCATATAGTCATTATCCTAAAAGGACAATTTTGACATTAAGCAAGTAGAGACTTAAATTAGAATGCCTGGGATTTTGAAGCCTGGCTTCTCCATATACTAGCTTGTAATGTTTATAATCTCGGACAACTTTCTAGCCTTTAACTTTTACATCTATAAAATTGGGACAGTAATGTACCAGTCTCATTAGGGCTATTTTATGGGGACTAAATAGATTAATAGAATCTCTAGTAGCATAGTGCCTAAAGGCACTTGACTGCTAACCAGAAGGCTAGCGGTTCAAGCCCAGTAGCCACTTCTCAGAAGGAAGATGGGGTAATCTATATCTGTAGTGATGCTGCCTCGGAAAACCAAGGAGGGGTCGTTATGAGTCGCATCTGACTCGATGGCACGTAACAACAACAGTAACAACAAATGGATTAATACAGTGAAACCCCATGAGAGCCAGAATTTTTTGGGACTGCTTTGTTTTCCCATCTTGCTAGTTTTCCACCTTTCGCAGGGTGCAGCCTTTTCTGTCGTTCTTTATTAGTGGAAAATATATGAGTTTTTCTTCTATGATAGGTTTCTGCCTTACACAGGTTCTGGCTTTTGCAGGTTTTACTGTATATGTAAAGTGTTAAAAATAAGCAAACTAATTTTGGTTTCATATCTATTTTATAATTGTGAGAATGAGAATTTTTAAAACCTGCCCAAACCTACACAGCCTGTCATTCCTCTAGGATACTAGCAACTTTCATCAGTCTGCTAATGGACACTAAAATATCAAAGAACAACATAATGTACTTATATAGCATACACAGGACTGTTCATACAGAGGAAAGCTTTAAAAATGTATGTGTGAAAGTCACTAGTACAAATGGAAAGCAGTATGTGATTACCAAATAAAGTAATAGGGTACAGTTGTGGTATAGTCTGAAAGCCTTAGTACAAATGCAGACCATAACTTCTTAACAACCTTTTCAACAGGGGCAAGTTTTTTAGCTTCTGTCAGCCTTGTTAAGTTATATGTAAAATGAAGTTTTCCTTACCTAGGTAGTGTGAGTCTTAGCTGAAATAAAGTTGGTACAAATGCTTAGCAAAGAATATTTTTACATGGAACATTCTCAGATGTTTACTGAAATAAATCAAGAATTAAGGGGAAGAAAAGATCTAGAATATTTGTGTAAGACCCTCATAAAAGGTCTGGTTTAGAAAGAAATTTAATCTATTAGTTCTAATGATTTTAAAGTTTTATCCCTGAAATGTTCTTGTTATAGACTAGCACCACCAAAACCCAAAACCCAACCCATGACTGCCAAGTTGATTCCAACAAATAGCGACCCTACAGGACATACTAGAACTGCCCCATAGAGTTTTCCAAGGCTGTAAACTTTGCAGAAGTAGAATGCAACATGGTTCTCCTGCTGCACCACCAGGGCTCTGTGGGCTATCACCAAACTCTTAACAAATGCAGAAGTTGATTGAATGCTCCTATGGATTTATTTTCTTACTAAAATTGGCAAAAGAAAACATTGCATTTTGATTTCTACTCTTAAACAGGAGTGGAAAAAACTTAAGACTAAATTATAGCTTCATTTTAGGATTTTTATATTCATTATGCTTAGAAAGTAAGAAGTCTGATAGATAAAACACTTAAAAAATTGGCAAGATTTCTTAAGCAAATACCTGATCTCTAAATGAATCTAGGACTTTGTTGCTATCTATGTTTTTAGTTAAGAATATTATGTTACAGTTTATATGTTGCAGTGGATTTGAATTGAATTTTTTACCTTTCAAGTATTTTCATACTTATGAGTTTGAGTTTGGAGCTCTGGTAGCACAGTGCCTAAGGCATCTGACTGCTAACCAGAAAGTTGACAGTTCAAACCCACCAGCTACTCCAAGCAAGTCTGAGCAGTCTACTTCCATAAAGATTTACTGCCTCGGAAACCCAATGAGGGTCACTGTGAGTCGGAATCAACTTGACAGCAGTGGGTTTGGTTTTTTAGTTTAAGTTTAAAAATACTGCTATATTTGAATAGCTACCACATAGAAAGTATATACTGGGAAAGTAGTGTCAGCTGTCAGTAAGTTACATTTTAACTTTTCAAACTATACAGTATTGAATTATTGATATGTTTTAAATTTTTATAAAGGGATACAGTGTTATTGTTTTAATGCACTATATTATATTTTAATACTATAGTGTTTCAGACTAATTGGGGGCCTGGGAGGCTTAAGTATAGATTTTTAGTTATAGAGAATTCCATTTTTATTGTTTTCAAGAATATCATAGTAATATGAATCAAATGGTGACTAACAGCTTCAAAAAAGACTCTTCTGGATTTACTTTAATGAACAGATAACTCATGTGTAATTTGTATCATCTGTCTGCACCTATAGAGCCCAACTACCCTGGTATGGGGTCATCATGAGTTAGAACTGACTCCACAGCATCTCTATTTTTTTTTTCCCCAATCTGCACATTAAAGTAGTCCTTTTGATTTTTTTCCCCTCATTGAGAGATAAATATATAGGTAATATCCTAACAGACATAACAAAAATTCTATATGTATGTAAGTGTCCTCTTGACACACAGTATTCAAGTGATACAGTTATTTCTATTTTAGACTTGCCTTCAAATCTAGCATTAGATTTTTTAGCAAGACTTTGGTGCCATATTTACAGGAGGACAAATTAATGACCTCAAAAGGTTTACTTATGTACCTCAAATATTTCTAGCTGCTTTTTTACATACCTTTTATTTTTTTGCTATATTATTTTAAAATTTAAATCTAATAAATTCAGAATTCTATTCCTTTTTGTCTTAAAAAGGTAAAATAAATCTTTTAAACTGTCATTATACTTCTAGAATATTATATAATATTCCTTTTAAGATAATTCCATTTTCTATTTCTGACTTAATTAAAATTTAGTCATAGTTACTAGTTATACATCCACAATTACTCCTGTAGCACTAAGCTAAGGGTTATAAATTTACTTCCAAGTTTAAGCTAATAGCCAACCTATTTCAGACATCATAGTTGAAAAAAGGATACTGAATTTGGATTTGAGCCATAATTTAGTAGTTTTATGACCTTGGGTAGGTAGCATAATCTCTCTGAATGTCAGTTTCCTCATGTGTAAAGTGGGAATTTATTTATCCAACAGATATTTGCTGAAAATATGTTACTGAGTGCCAGGCACTGTTCTAGGAGCTAGGGATTCAGTGGATAGACAAAATCCATGCCATCATGGAGCTTACATTATAAGGGACATATAAAGTGCTTGTGGACATAATAATGACTCAATTTCTTCCATTCTCTGTTCATTTTCTGAATCTCATCTTTTTCAGCTGTAATTATTACAGAGTTATTCTGAGGATAATTTTTATTAGCTTAAATGTTGCAAGAATATCATTCATTTTAACGTTGGCAGAAAAATTTGGATGA